TATATATACTGTCTCGAAAACACTGAGTTTATACCGAGAGAGAGAGAGACCGAGAGAGAAAGTGGCTTCTCTGCTGCCCGCCGCATTAAGTAATCCACGGCCAGAGCGAAGCGTGTAAAAATGACGCGCGCGCGACGACCGATGCTCGGCACTTGCAATCCCCGCATCTCGCAAGCGACCGCGCGGCGAAGCTTCGTTCTTATCTTGCGAAAGGTTTTAAGTCACTCTTCGCTTTATGCTGACCGCGTTCGATTACTCATTTCCACGAAGCGGTATGAAGCCACGAGTGAATTCCTCTTCATTCTCAAAGCGGCCTTCTTCTTCTTCTTCTTCTCTCTCTCTTTCTCTCTCTCTCTTTCTCTCTTTCTGACGTTGAATTTCTGACCGTCAGACTCGCGCGCGGCATCGCGTCACCTCTGAAGTCATCGTAGAACGATGGTGAGAAAGTCCGAGAAAGAATCGTGAATTAATCAATTAGTCAGACTCGAAGTCAAATAAATTTTTCCGCCGCCGATTCGATATCGAACGATCAATCAGAGATTCGAGAGGCGATAAAAGATGATTCAGTTGCGTCTGGAGCACACCTTGCGCGCGGAGCTACGTGCCTTTGGAATTTAATTCGCAGCTGCAGGCGCCGCAGAATTATGAGAGCTCTGCTAAGATTATTCATTGGCGTAGGAAAACTGCACGTATAGGAAAACTACGATGACGCTGATGACGCTCATTAATAAATCACTCGGCAAAATAGTATGTACGCGATTATACTCTCCAATTAAAATCTTCTGACATCATCAGCTAGAACCGCGTCGTAGTTATCCGGCGGAATTCTGACACATGTGTGTGCAGCCTGCCCTACTACTACGCGACACATCGAGCAACATCATCTTTTTCCCCAAAGCGATGGACATTCATATGTTCGCTTATTAAGCGCACGACATTATATACTTATATGACGTAATCTTGAACGATTCCGCGTCCGTGGATTCTCCGTGCTGGAGAATAACTCTTTCAAAAATTATTTTCAGCGTTTCGTCAATATTTGTCTTCGGCGGACAATCGCGACGCGCGCGCGAAAGACGCAGCATCCGCATGTCGCTCGTCGTACAATCGCGTGCTTATCCGCACGAGCGAGTAGGCGAAGCGTTTCGTTTTTTTCTGCGCGCTAAAAATAAACGCGCGCGCGTGCACACACACCTGTGAACAATCTCGTGCATGTTCGCGATGGTTTCGCGTCGAGAGAGATCGAGAGAGAGAAACGTGAGCGCGGGAGAAGAAACGTTCGCCGCCGAGTAGGCAGAAGCCGCGCGCGGAGTCTGAAGGTGCGGCCCTTCGATGAATCGAAAGTTAAAATCTCCGCCCGAGGTTGTGACGGGGGCTTTGTGTTTCTCGAGATAATATTTCCAGATAGCGTTTCCAAGCAGACTCTACTTAATCTCTATTTAGCCCGACTCGTCTTGTAATCACCGCCGATTCGCGCGCTTCCTCGCGAGCTAACGTGACACGTGCAATTGGAACGCGTTCTTCCAACACGACGCGTATCGCCGTCGCGAATCGTTGCCCCTGCGATTTACGAGCGCCCGTCGTCGCCACGATTCATGGTAGTTTTCATAAACACCATAATGCCTTGCGAGGGGGAATCGATAATACTGGCTCTCTCGCGAGCCGTATGCGACCGCGCGGAGCCGTGCGGAGCGTTGCATGGCATTTCGAAGTCGCGCGTGGAAACTCACCAAGTGATTTCAATGCGCGACGTTATTTATGCGGAGCAAAACAAAACTTTCCCGCGAAATTCCTCGTCGCGTTGTTGATTAGGCATTTTAGGATGCTTAATGCTTGGAATACTTTGACTGGCGAAGAAGCGTTTCTGCAAGCGTTGAAACGTTATGCAAATGTCGAGTGACTCTTGCAAGTGAGACGCAGTAATTTTATGTAACTTTTGCGGGAAGCATTTTTCTCGGTTTCTTTTTGTAATACTCGGAATATTTGCTTAGATATAAATGAATATTTCGAGACTATGACAATAAATGGCTAGTTTCAGTTATTGTTTTTTTTTTCATTTTATTACTTCTTTTATTTTCTTAGGTTGAATTCTTTTGGTCTTTATTACTGTTGCCACAATTAAAGATTTATTTTCATATCTCGATGCGATGTAACATCTTGTAGAAGATTCTTCCTCAATATAATTATTTATCTCTTACTGTTAGAGAGAATTTCAAACAAAGCAATCAAAATTTGAAAGAAATAAAAATGTTATTTCCTGTCTTATGTAAAAAATTGACAAATTTATTATATAATAATTCAAGAGCGAGAGGTAATTCAATTGACTTGAATTTAAACAATAAAAAAGTCATAAAAGGCCAAAGACGAGCGACAGATGTTAGTTAATAAAAAAAACATCGCTTCATTTATATGACTTGAATATTAAATTTTATTAACTAACATCTGTATTTCGCTCGTCTTTGGCCTTTTATCCTGACTTTTTTATTGTTTACAATAACGAGCTGGTAATCTATTTATTATCTTGAATTTAGTTGCAAAATTCGCAAGTTAACGATAATCGCCAAACTAGCCACCTATTGTCGCAGTGATACGAAATGATATGAAGACTTAAAGACATTAACGCGACGAAACCTGGCGGTAAACTGTCAATTATTTGCACAGCCAGCGACTTTCTCGTTTATTAGTCATCAAATTCGTTCCGGGTGTAAATTAAATTAACACTTTAATCAAGAAAGTTACCATTGTTGTTCTCGTCTTTGCGTCACTTTGCAGATTGATATTATTTGAACGTGGGTGTAAGTTAATTCACATATCATTTCCTCAATGAACTAAATGATATCTAATTACACTTCCTTTCTGATTCACGTCTTTAGTACAATGTTATGATATAACCGTCCATTGAGTTAAGCGAACTTAGGAATTATCTTAAAAGATAAACAAATCTTGAATGCGTGCGTGTGCGTGTGCCGGCGACTTCGTTTATATCAATATTAATACTAATTTCAAAGAGTTAAGTATTTGCAGAAGGAACTCCCGCGCAAAAAGTAGAAATTTCCGATCACCTTGAAACTTCTACTGTTTGGCGGGATAAGAAGCGAGCACATAAAACATCGAACTGATATGATTCATATTTAACTGCCGCGCGTTAAATGGCGGTTCGACGATGAATCACCCCGACGCAACTTCGGCGTCTTTGCTCCAAACTTCCTCGTCTCTCGGAGACGCGGCGGAGTAAATCGTTTGCGTGAGAACCACGCGCGCGGGCTCAGGTATCCTCTAACGCCGTTCGATTGCTCAACATCTCTACTCACGCTGGTCCCTCCTGTGGTCGGGTCCCTTTCTCTCCAGCCGCCGGGCAGTCGCGGGAAATAAATGAGGAAAAACGATTCCTTTCTCCCTGGTCGAAAAGCCTCCCCCGTCACGCGCGGAGGGAAAAACGCTCGGGCGATGAGTCGTCGTTCGTGTCGAGGGCAAGTGTTTCAGGATGATGTCGGATGTGTCTCGTGTCGATCGATGAAAGAATTCAGGAACCGAGGCGCCAAGTTAGACGCGCGCGCGTTTTCAGACCGTGCCGGAGTGAAACTGAAACGGTAAGACCTGAAGTGAACCGCCTCGCTCGCACTCTCTCTTTCGATCTCCGTCCTTCTGTTTCCCTCCTGTTTCTCCCTTCCCCTACCTGTTTTCGTAGTAGTACCCCTCTGTCTCTCTTCCTCACCCTTCGCCTCTCTCCTTCCTCGTCAAGTCATCGCTGACTATACCATAATACACGTTGCGTACGCGTTACTACCGTCGTGATCTAACTATAGTACGGAGCCATTGTGTGCGAGCCGGTGTGCACGAGGAAAACACCACGATGGGGGCCAACGAAAGTGGGGAATCACACGTTGGCACATATGCTCCGGTAACATACAGACGCGGCACACGATGTAAGAGGGTACCGCACGCGCTGCGAAACACGGGGAACCGCTCCTCGCGGGGCCCCTGCTACACGAGGCCACACACTTTCGGCTAGGAATGTGGATGTGATAATCAAGCCATTGCCGGCAAAAGGCGAAGCTGTTGATTTAATGCTACCTCGATAATTGCTACCAGAGATCGACGCTCAAATAAATGCGGTGTATCATATTTCGTTATCTCAATCTGGCGAACCCTTTTACTCGATAATTAACACGCCAAATATGAAATTACCCTTAAAAAGCAAATCGTAGTACTTTTAAACTACTTTTCATATAATATACACATATGTAATTATTATTCTAACATTACAGAGTAATCCTTATAAATTGATTACCTAAATGATTATCTTTAAACAAAAGGGATCGTAATCTAAATTATTTTTTATTGTGAATTTATAATCTGCTATTTTTTAAAATCAGTTAAAATGAGTATATATTTCTTGTATATACTTTTTTTATATTTTACAAAAATGTTTGCAAAACGTAATTACCGTCGAATTACCGTAGAATTTCAGAGAAGGCACGTTTCAATTTAATTATCGAAAATATATAAATGTTAAACAATTCTACGAAATGTTACGCAATTCAATGTAGGTCGTGATCGTTTACATGCATGTCGCATGCATCCGTCAATTCCGTCATCTCCAAACTTAGTACGCACTCGATGGCAGTAATTTCGAAGTTTGTTTAGCGACTGCTCCACCCAAGTAATAACCGTTGATTCTAATTGAAGCAATCATCATTTAGGTTTCAAGGGTTTTAATCAAGCCGCCCTAATGTCCCGGGATAATTGCCAGATTATTTCTTCAAAATGGTACACTCGTAATGATACACGTAACGTACTTCGTCGAGTTATTTTTAGACGTACGTATTTGACTCACAAAATGGATAATCACAATTGCATCCATAAAAATTACCTTGAAAATATTTTTACATCAGAAAGCATGAAAAGCTATTGACGCAACTTGATTGATTGTTATAAATTATATAAACTATTTTCTTACGAATAAGTCATATAGTAATCGATATATTTTCGTCGTATCGATTAGGTACTATACGAAATGAATATCAAGAAACGTAAAAGAATTAAACTTGTGTATATTTCATTCTTTATTTACATGCTGTTTATTTTTTTTTCCGTTACTACAGTTCTGTTAAATTAATGTTAAAAATTCACGAAGTTGAAACTACAAATTCACCGCGACGGGCTACATTTATAAGGATTAGAAACTTAGTATAATCCCTCATATCCCAATGAAAAATTGGCACCAGCAAACATCTTAAATCTATATAGGAAATAAAAGTTACGATTGACGCTGCATTCATAAAAGATAGAAAGTTAATGCAAAACGTACAGTAAGAAGTGTAAATTAATTCTTAGATATTAGAAACTAATCACTTTCACTACACACATTATTCATATATCGTATTCTCGCATTTTTTTTCAAATAACAAACAAGGAAGAAAAATGGAAAATATTTTATAATTAGAATATTTTAAAGTAAAAAATGATTACGCAAAGCCGTTTTCGTAAAAGTAAACGTATTTTCAAGTTATTATGATATTATTATTTCTCACTCTTCAATCAAACAAGCAAAATTTTTAAGAAATATAATTATGAGTGCACAAAATAAAAATGAACGGATGTAAGTATTTTAAAATTGAATAATTATAAATATTTAAGGTTTAATAATGATATTGATCCATCAATGTCAAAGTAATAGACCAACGAATTTATTGAATTTATTCATAATAGTCTTAAATCTTAATTTCTAATTTGAATTGAAAATTTTTTTCTACGGTGTATGTATGTTGCAAACAATTTTATTTTTTGTTTGTCCTTGAACAAACATATTGTTAGAAAAATCCTGTTTAAAGAATGATCGTTGCTAATTACTGCCGCACATTTCAATTAACTTTACGTAATCATTATAACAAAAGAAATCCCACGTCCGAATAACGCTACAGTTGTGCGAAATTCACTTGACGTAACTGTCGCACGTTCGCACTGCCGCCGCGATACGATAAATTTTTTTCATTGGCGAACATGCATTTATTTATTCTAAAAAGTCTCATTATTATTATTATGAAGATTACGACACTCTGCACGGCTTTGCCGACGTTAATCGCACGCGCATCTATTTTTACTATTTATTATTACATTTTTGTTCATCAATTATTACTTGCTGGATCGCGACGAAAGAATAACGTGAAAGTCGGCGGGAAGTCGAAAATCGTGCGGTCAACTTTGCACGCCACTCACTGCAGCGACATGCTACACCTGTTGCTCTTATCAACTACACCTTCCATACGCATTTCGCATCTTGAATAACAAATAATATTCTCGTGTTTTACGTCTATACTTGTGTTATTTTTATCTTAAATTATAATGGAAATGAATTAAGTCAACGATAAATATCCGCGAACGTTTGACGTTTCTGTCAATTGTGCGCAAGATTTCTATCCAGTGAACGTCGCAAAATAGCAAGTCATCAGTGTATGAATGCTATTAATGAATGTTAAAATATTGACATTTATTAATTAAATGCGTAATTAAATGCGTCGTTTGATTTATTTCTGTTTCGCATCGATGGAAAATTCGAAAAATTTGAAAGCGACGCAATCAACGTTATTCTGATACGTACGATGAATCGGGATGACGTCTAATATAATGCCAATAAATTGATCGTCTGAAGGCATATAATTAGAGAATTTATTATGCAATAAAATTTCAAATGTACACACCTCACGAGTCCATACTACTTAACGAATTTTTTAAAATCATTATTCATTATTAATTACTGTTGTACTGTTCTCATATTTTTATTTTTATCATTGATTTAAATTAATAATGAAAATGAAATTAATTTAATTCAACTTAAATTAGTTTGCATAATAATGAAAATGAAAAATTTATAATTAATTTAAACCGAGTGCACCGTTGGCGCGCCGCACGGTCTGTCATTTCTCAGATCTATGCCGTCTATGGCCGAAACGCACGCTGCTCCGAGCTATGCAAGATGGCGACGGAGTGTTTTCAGGGTTGAATAGGTGCGGTTCCTTCGTCTCGAGCGATCGTAGTCGCCAAACTCAGATCGCGATCCTGTTTCTCACGTCGCTGGTCGTGCCTGCGAGAAACAGCCCCTCGACGGTACCTCGAAGGTGCCCCCAAGTCGTCGAACTCGGGTGGAGAGGAAACACGAACCTCCTCCGTCGGTCCGTCGCACCTTCGAGAACGCGCTGTCAGCTGTCAGATGTTTGCATACGCGCGATCGCGTGCGGCGCGTCGCGGACTCACGGACGGCACGTAATAGCGGCTCGATTCGCGCGGTAGCGGCGTCGAGTTTTATGAGACACGTCCCGAGTCTGTGTCGAACAAGGTGAGAGGAAGAGTCCGGGACAGACATGGAGAGCTTTGAGGCATTGGGATGGTGAGTGTACTCTTCCACTTTCTCGCTGACGTTCCATGCGAAAGAGAATTCATTTCTCTCCTCCGTCACGTGGTCCGCTCGATATTCGCAACCCTTTCGTCTACGCTTCTTTTTTCAGGTATCTGTCCGAGCACGGTTACGATGTGGCAACCGATTCGGGTAGCGTGATGGACACGCAGAAGATAATAAAACGACTGCTGGATGTACGTATCAATATGATTGTAAACAAACACCACAGGGATCTGCGGTGTTTGCTTATTACATTCGATTATGTCGAAAGGTGTGGGAGTGAATGTGAAAAAAAAATAAATTATTTGCAGCTTGACTTGAGAGAGATTGGCAGCGGAAATGGGGATATTAATCAGGGCAACATCGTGTTGCAAATACAGAAGATACGCAATGTATCCACGCCCAAAGGAAATGAGGAGTCGAAATCAGTCCCGCGGATGTTAAAATTATCGTTGACAGATGGAAAAAATAATTTTCAAGCCTTAGAAGTTGAACATATATCGGCTTTAAGGTAAGGCACATGTATTGCGTTACTTACTCTCTCCTGTCATCTCTCAAGGTCCATTTACAATGAGAGTAGTAAGTCGTAAGCTGTAAGAAATTGACCATTCATAGTTGATTATTCCTCTCATATTCGACTGTGATTGATCAATTTCTTACAGCTTACGACTTACTACTCTCATTGTAGATGAGACAACTCTGTTTGTGACTTTACAACTCTGTCTCTTCTAATCGTCTATTTTGTATGTCGTAGTTTAAACACACCACCTGGTACAAAGATACTGATAAATTCAGGAACCCTACCTGTGTTTCATGGACTCCTCTTGTTGAAACCATCGCATTTAGTTTACGTGCTCGGGGGAAAAGTTGCCAATTTAGTGGAAAAATGGGAATTAAATAAGGTAAACTACATTTTACTTGAGAGACATTTATTATAGTAATAATTAATTTTTCGGGCATAGCATAAGTACAGGATTGTTTTTGTTACAGAAATTAGCTTCGCATACCCGAGTAAGATCTGCCGAAGAAGGTGGACCGCCACCGTGGATACCATTTGGTAAAAAAATCATAAAAGTGTCGGAGCAAGATAAGAACTTCAAAGCACTGGCGGAAAAAGAGAAACCTAGCAAGGAGAACACTGAGTTTGAGACTCAGCGCAAGGATGCGATAGCCGAGGCTGCCAAGCAGGGCAGTAAGAAAGTATTTGGCGGCGGGAATAAACAGGTTTGACTTGCTTTTTTATTTTTCCATTAAATTAAATGTTTCCATTAATGTCTGAAGATCTAATTTATATGCGTTTTTCACAGTTATTGGATCATAGCGTACAGAAAATCGTGGATCGTGGATTTACCGTAGAGCAGGCAGAATACGCTTTGAGAGTCAATAGAAATAACGTGGACAGAGCTCTGAAAAGCCTGCAGAAGACCGACACTAGGCACAAGTAAGAGAATTAATTTTTATTTTTCCTATTTTTCCTTCATACGTTCAATTGTCGGATTATAACCTTAATGCAACAGCGCCAAGGAGTCTCGAGAACCGCGAGAGCCACGTGGCAAGCGGGAGAAGAAGGCCGAGGAGAGTAAACCTAGCAGTGGAAAGATATCTCTGTTCGACTTTCTCGAGGATAAGTTACCCGTGCAGCCCGAGACTGTCGAGACGACTAATTTGTCGCAAAGCAATTACATGCACAATAATGAAAGTAATCAGGATCGTTTTGAGTCGTTGAGAGGTACTGATGTACAAAGTGGAAGAGGTGGACGGTACGTAGCTATCTTACAAAAAAAAAAAAAAACGGAATTGCAAAATGTATAAACGAAGCGTGTAGCGAGTACTGATATTGGTCTTCTAACAGGAGGCAGCAAGGTGGTCGCGGGTACCAGCCACCTCCAAGATATTCGGAGGAGCACAGAAATAGTAAGCGTACAAATAATAGCAATCCCACCGCGTATTCGCAATACAACGGCGCCGGTCACGTGCCGCAGAACAAACCGCCGCGATTTCAACGCAACCAGGAGCCTCAGTATCAGTATCAGAACGACGGCGGCAGAGAAGCGTATCAGAAGCCCTCTCAGCCGCCGAACGATTACAGAAACACGTTCGCTCAGTCGCGCACAAGTAACGTAGTGAACGCCGGTGACAGCGGTAACGATAACTATAACAGAGTCCAGGCTGAGTTACAGGGAAAGAATCTCGGTAGTAACAGAAACTATAATCACCTCGAGCCCGAGGCGAGAAATAGGCATTCTTATGATGCTTCTTATAATAGGCATAACCGGGCTCAGCAAAACGGAACCCCTAAAGTATATTCGTCTAATGCAACTGAACAGAATTTTAAGAGTCAACTTAGATACCAGCCGAATAGTAACGTTGGCAACAGGATGCCCATGAATCCCAGCGTGCAGAGGAACGAGAGTAATTACGGTGGCCACAACATTAATAGTACATGGGTATGGCAAGTAGGTGACAAGTGTATGGCCAAGTATTGGGAAGACAATAGGGTACGTATCACTTTTTTTTGAAAAAAACTTTTTTAAATTAAAATGTGCACAAAAACCGCGCGGATTAACGCCACTTACGGCTCTCTCTTAATTCTATAATCAATCCTCGTATAAAAATTGAGATATACGTGGATATACAACAGTTGAAATCGAATCGAAAATTCATTACTATAAGTCGATCTTACACAGAGCCACGCGTCATTCCTTTTTTTTTCATATCCTTTCGCATTGTTTAATTGTTTTTGTTTACAGTATTACAATGCCGAAGTCACTGGCGTTTCCGAGAGAACTTGCGTGGTGCAATTCAAGGGATTCGAAAATTATGAGGAAGTGCTCCAGGTGGATTGCATACCGATAACAGACGACGTATGTAAAGTAGCGCAATGTAAAATTATAATTATAATGTGTTTTGGTCACTGATAAAATATTTCTTGTTAATTGTAACAATTTCAGATTCAGGATCATCTTTCGGATAGACGGCAAGATCAACGTCCCAACAATCGACAGCCGCGTTACGATCAGAGTCACAATCACATAAATGGTGAGCGACAAATCGTTCGTCTCCAGATACATTAAATTATGTCAGTCATCAATGTAATTTGACGAAAAAAATGATGACGATTGCAGCAGGTATGGAATTTCGACGAGGTGGCAGCGGTGCCGTCGGCGGGAGTAAGGGATACAATAAGAAGCGTGGTCAGCAACGGAGCACGCTGCCAATTTACCAGCCGCCGGCGCAGAGAGGCCACAATTCTCTGCCAATTAATAATCAAAATAATACTCAACATAATCCCTTTCTTTAATGTAACTCTAGTCTCGCATCTTTAGTATAAAAAAAAAAAAAGAAAAGTTCAGTACTTGCTAAGTATTGAGGCAGTTGCATTCGCTACTGAGGATTGATCTAACAGGTTGCCACGCTAATGGAGAGTTTAGATACCGTTTACAATTAACCGTTGATAGAGGCGGGCGGAGTTGAGTGCCACATTTTGATTTCTATTAGACGCTGAATTTAATATATGCGATAACTTAATACGAAGCGAGTTGGTTTTACACAAAGGGGAGGAATTATAGGAGGCTCTTACTGTAAAATATCGACTGTGTTCTCGAAATATTGTATTATTTGTATTGTAGGGAAAATTGATTCTTACTACTGTGCGAAACAGGGCAATGTCTGTACCTCGTCCACCTTAGCTGTAATACAGTTGTAATGAAATTTCGCTCGTTTCGTTCTTCGATACCCTCGAGAAATCGTCAAGAAAGAGCAGTATTTCGGCAAAAAGTAACGTAAGCTAATTTTGACATTATTCTGAGTATTATTCAGAACGGATTAATTAAACTGAAATAATTTGTGAATGTCAAGGGCTAAATGCTTCCGAAATTAAATGTCTAAAATAAATTATTAAATATCTAGAATAAATTACTGATTCAAATTTCAGAAATTGTATTCCCAAATTTAAATACAAAAATCTGGTTAATGAACACATAATGTAAAATTATAACTTAAATATTATAGTACATTTACATATTAATTCAAATAGCTACATATTATATATTTTTAAAAGTTCAAAATTTAGAAATTTTGATCGATTAACTTAATAAGATAAAATTATTAATCTTTGTTAAAAAAAAAAGATTTTGCTGTAGGGTTTAATGACTGAATTTTAAATTGATCGCGTGCACTGCGACATTCTCGTGAGAGGGCAGCAAAGCATAACAACCTTAACCTAAAAAGCATGCTCCGAAAGCTAAGGAGACCGTCAGAGACCGTGTATCTACGAATAATATAAAAATTAAGTATTGTATATCAACAATCGCTTGACAGTACAATATCTGACTTACAATGCGGCTTGGATTGATGATGTTAGGCTGGGCCAACAAAATACCATACAGATTCAGAGGGTGAGTGACTTTACTGTGAGAACTAACCTCATTTAGATTAACGAGTTAAAAATCACACGTTTTCGTAACATATAATATTACTTTCTTAACATCACGCGGGACACGCGTAATTCTCTGTAAATCCTTTGCCTCACGCAGGAAATACCGTAAAGTCAAGGAACCGTCTATGCACGATTTACTAAAGATGAAGCAAGATTTCGAGAGGGAAGAGCAGAACATGTTGATCCTGCGGCATCCCTACCTCACGCGTGAACAATCTTGCGGCCACATGAAAGATCTTGAGCCAGACAAGCATAAACGGTTCATTGCGGACATAATCGAGCTGAATCGTCAGAAGTTCCAGAAAGAGGTTACTATCGCCGAGCGTCTGTGCCACATGAGAGTCACGGAAGCGTGGGATTGAGAAGCCTTCTACAGATATGTGTAATTCTGTTTCGTAGATTATAATTTAGGTTTAAATTAAATAGAGACAATGAATCTAAGAAGAACATTTATTTTTCTTTTTTTTTTTTTGTACATTTTGGATCAGCACAATGCCGAGAATATACATAGAGCATTTCTTAACGCAAGAAACATAATGTCATGAAATATGTTACATAAGTTTATCTAATAAGGTATACAGAATGTACGGAAAGTAAAAGTTGAGACTAATACTGTGACATCGTTATTTTAAAGCATTAAATTATATTGTTCGTATAAAACGATTCAAGCTTGAGCATCGACTAAACGGCTCTCTTGAAACCGAGTTACTTCCTTTGGCTTATTTCTCATCCAACCGAACGGATCTTTATTGATCTCCTCTTCGGTCAGGGTCTTCCCCTCGTAAAGCATATTTGCGAAATCCGATACGACTGGATCGGCATTAACACTGCTAATTCCTATTACTTTGCCATCCTTGAGATAGTAAGCGATCCATTCCAGTTTATCCAGCGAGCCATGAATCTTTATGCTAGTGGGTTTCCCATGGCCTGAAAGCAAAGCGGCAAAGATTGAGTGGATCTCTTTGCAAAACGTTCGCTTGTGATACTTTTGAAATATTGTTAAAAAACATGTTGCGAAAGTGCAAAAATTTACCTGCGTATCTGTAATTTCTACCCAGTAAATTGGTCCAGAAGAACGGCACGGTCCTCAAAGGAGTTTCTTTGCCGCATATGTTCAGAGCCGCAATTTTGCCGTGATAATGAGCTAGAGAATAGTGACCTATCGCCGCTGACGTGTCGTCGGATCCGTATATCGGTGCGTAAGCTATGTCACCGCCAGCATACACATTTTCCACGTTCGTCCTTAGATGCTACAGTTCAATTAACATTCAATTATCCAACTATGAAGTATGTAATTAGAAAAGTACCGTGTGCCCGATAGAGAATGTGTTATACCTTGTCTACTAATATAGTACCGTTGTCCCTCATTTGAACGGAAGATCCTTTCAGCCAATCGGTGTAGAAGGTAGATCCTATTCCGACAATAGCTATATCCGCTGGTAGAATCTGACCGTCCGTAAGTTCGACCTTAGCCACAACACTTTCTTCACCTTCCTTAGGTATGAATTGCTTGATATTATTCTGGAAGATGAATTTCACACCTGGAAATATTGATTATTATTATTATCAACACGCAACGCATAGCAATACGTAATGCATGCTACACACAACTTGTACCTTTTGCCTCGTGCTCCTTTTTAATTCTATTGCCGATGTCCGCGCCGAATATCGCTTTGAGGGGCACGGTATCGCGTCCTATTACCGTGACAGACGCGCATTTGTCGATACAGTAAGCCGCGGCTTCCATGCCGATGAAGCCTAATCCTAGGACAACTACGTGTTTCTCGCGGGACAGAAGCGCGTACACACCTTGCGCGTCGGTGTAATCTCGTAGGACAAAAATATTCGATAAATTCGCCCCAGGTACACTTGGCATCCTCGGTTTACTGCCTGTGCAAGTAAACAGATAATCGTACTTCAAGTTTTCGTTGTTACTCAGCTTGACAATATTCTGAGTCGTATCTAGACCTGTAACAGAATATGAAAAAAATGTGAGGACAGAATGTGAGAATGTATGTAAAAAATGTGAAGTGGGTGACGTGATTTTATGGGTTAATTCTAAGCGGCATAAAGCTTGTAACTTATTCTCGTAAGATCTATAAGAACTGATAACCGAATGCTTGTAACTTTATGCAATATCTTTACAGATAACGTCTTGCCAGCCGTAAAATTTATGAGAAATACTTATGAATGTTTATACGTCTTATGGTATGTATAGAATTACAATTCCATAGTTATTTTCCAGTCATAAAATTCTTACAAGTTTTACGAGGACAAGTTACGATCCTTACGATTCTATTTAGAATTGATTCGTTAGACGTATATGTTGATCCTATTTTTTCGTACCTGTCGCTTCTACTCCAAGTTTCGTTTCGATATTGTGATCGTTGTAGAACGAGGGTGGCCGTAATGCCGCTTTCTGAACGTCGAAATCTAACACTTTGGACACTTTTATTCGATCGTAGGGCACCGCCTGCTCCCTGCACACCATAACGATGCGTCCGGCGAAGCCCTCCTGTCGCAGACTCTCCGCACAGGTCGCGCCCGACGGCCCGCCGCCAACTATCACGACCGTCTTCGTATCCGCCGGATCACGTGCGGACATGTCCTTCGTGCGTTTGTTAATATCCAGGTCTTTGCGTTTGGCCCTCACGTGGACGAGACCGTCTTCGTCTACGCGAACCTATTTTAAAGCAGGTATACATAGGGGTAGCACGTTACACAAGACGAGATATAGGACGCGAGAGCTCGATAAGTTTGTAAAGTACTCGAAGTACCTTGTAGCACGGTAAGGAATCCAAGCCTGGATAATCTTCAATGTCCCCGGTTTTGATATTGAAACACGCGCCGTGCCACGGACACCTCACCCGGCCCTCCCCTAACGCGCCGGTGTGCAGCAGAGCGCCGTAATGCGTGCATTTGGTGCCGATCGCGTGCAATTCTCCGTTCTGCTTCACCAGCAAAATCTTCCCATTGTCGCCAAGCGGCAGCATCTTCATCTCATTTTCGTTGATATCCTCCTGCTTGCACACCACATCCTCGACGTAGTCATGCTGCTCGGAGGAGCCTAAGAAGTGTACAAGATAATTTATCATTCAAGTATATGTATAATAATTATCTGTAGCTTATTATAGACGGGTGTTATAAGATGTGCGCAGCAACAGGTGACTCACGAGTGCAACAACATGGCAATTTGTTATTACATTTGCGTGGGATACTCTCTGCTGTATCACATTCGTCGCAATATCTTTCCTCTTTAATTTTATTCAACATAATCGGAACGGATATCTTCAAGGAATTACAAAAGGGAGTTCGCTATACCTTTGAATCGTGTAATCTAGTCATAGTTCTAATTCTACAGCACGTAGATGTAAAACGTAAAAATATGTGAATGTGTGATATTTTTCAGTAAATGTGTGTGTGCGTGCATCCAACGCACGTAATTCCCTACGTCTCCATAACAGCCTGTAAACAATAGAATACTCATGACAAGCCAGTTTGCGAGTTTTGAATGACAGGCGGGTACCTCCGATCAATTGCATCATTAAATATCTCCGTAGCGAAACGAAGATCCTCGCGAGCGACGTATACAACAAACAACTCGCGTTGATTACATAACGCAGCATAGATGACAAGCACGAGGAAATCTTGCCGGGGGAGGAACGGGGAAGTCTCGGCGCGACGTTATCTCGTACGTGAATCTCGGTAGTCGCGCTCCGGCCGGTAGGTTATCAGTGATTTAATTGAAGGACGATGATCGGTGATAACTTTCCGCGAGATAGTTTCTATCGGCGAAACGACGACTGAAACCGATGAGACGGGGACTCCCCATGTATATTGCGGCGCATCGGCGCGACTCGCGCGTCGCGCACGTGGTGTATAGACGTGTGCATCGTTCGATACACCCCCGAGGAACGCGCGAATAAAAGCGCAATGAATAACGAGAATATAATAAAAACGGAGAATAAAAACGGAAGAATATTCCGTTCTAATTAACACGAATAAAGGCAAAAAAAAACTGAAGAAAATTCGTAAAAATTAGTTGTCCGAAAAGATCAATATTTACCAGCTGTTACTCCACCCCGTATTGATCTCGCTATTTATTCATTAAAATGCAACGCAAACCAGCTTTCGCTTTCGCCAAATTTTTCTACCGATCGCTTCGTATTTTATTTTATTTTTCAGCGTCAGAAAGTGAGCGTGACTCAATTGTAGAATGTAGGCCAGTTCACAGAAATGCGATGTATGTATACATACAGTGCGTGCTTGCCTCGTATCTCCACGTTCGCTATAACCTCTAACGAAAAAAAAAAACATACATTTTCTTGCTAATCGTGAGCGATCAATAACTCACGGTACACTTTCATGCATTCGGACGATCGGCAATAACGAAAAGTATCGCTTCTGCACTCCGTACTTGTCTTGTGTTTGTATACACCTTATTAAGCATTTAAGCGTCACACGAAGACATACCCTGGAATAGACGCGAAAACGAGAAGTCTGTCAAGGCGGGCCACCTCCGTTCGAGCGGCCCGAGCGCGAGACGCGCGAGTGTCCTGACGCACCACATCGATCGTCCTCACAAGGCGATGAGAACCTTACTACGATTCATGCCGTCCGTCCTCGTGCTATATGACACAACGAACGTCGTTTCTCACAAACCGCTCAATCACGATCTAGTCGCATGCAAACGCAGCCTCGACGTTAATCGAACACGTTTTAGCGTAACGCCGTCGGCGTAATTCGCCTCTTCTAGGAACGCGGAATGCAAGAACGCGTGGAAATTAATTTTAAAATTGAGCAAAAAGATTCAATCGATTACCGCGTGCGCAGATTAAAAGAAGAGGAATTGAATAAAAAAAGAAGAAATAGAAAAAGAGGAAAATGGGAAAAACGACAAAGAGGGAAAGAAGAAAAAAGAACCAAATTAGACGAATAAGGAGAAATAAAAGAGAAAAAAAGGAAAAAAAGAACCGCGTAAAAATAAACTATTATAGTGCAGTGAAAACACTATTAAAATTTAAGTGTCACTGCTGGTATGAGTATAGTGACACTTACATTTTAGTGCTTTTACTAAACTAGTAGTTTATTTTTATGCGGTTTTTTTCTTCTTTTTTTAAAAAGAAGAAAAACTAGATGCCTATAAAAGGAATTTTAATATATCAATATATAGCGCGATATGTAAAATAAAAACTTTGTCTCAGATTTTTACAGCGTGATCTTCGGTAATTTAGAGAGAGAGTCAATCTTCCTCGCGCGTGATACACACCTGTTGCAGCAGGTTTATCCCGACTCGAGTCGGCACTCCTCCGGAAGGCTTTGCAATAACCCGCGCCCATGCTGCAACTGCTGCAAGCGAGCCGTCTGCGAGACTGAGAACCGAGGAAAAAGCGAGGCCGTCGTGCGTCTTTTACGGATCGACCATGATCGCCCGTTTGCTGTGCGTGTAGATCCCCTCGTGATCTACAATCGTACGTGCGAGCGATCGCACGACCTTGAGATATTCGTGGTGGCGAATGACGCGGGCGGTATTTAGACTCTCATTGAAGACTTTCACATCGCGCTCAGTTCGGTCTCGGTTTGCCACCGCTCCGCGGTCTCACGACTGAGAAAAACGGGGCTCTCTTAAAGCTAAAAGCGCGAGCGCGCGCGTGCTCAAGAAATAGCGATCTCGGAATTCTGAGCGGCTCCAAGTAGATCGAAGGAACCGCCCGGCGATAAGATTGCCATGACTCATACTGTTACGACATACTTATTGTCGAAGGAGAGCGAGCGTGGAGTATAATATGTACGCGTGTTCGTGGCCGGAATTGCACAGGGAAGTCCGAAACCGCAGGCGCAATGCGAACGCTTCTGTGGATTGATTTTGAAGAGACGCTTGCCTTTCACTAATTAATGATGGACTCTCCACTTTTCCTTCTTTGAAATTCTATATATTAGACATTTTAATTTTAGAAAGAATTAAGTATTATGAGAACGTAATAATTATTTGAATTATTTCTGAGGCACTAGGGCGCTTTGTTATTATAGATATTTAAAGATAAAGATGGATGGATCGCGATATCGTAAAATGTAAATGATTACATTACTTACGTATTTGCGCAGCAAAAATTCTTATCGTGCACTATCGTCCTCTGCAGTGCTCTGCAGGAATTGTTTAGAGTTTAAGACTCTTCTACGGGTATAATACGAGAGATGTGGAATAATTTCTGTTACCGACAAACTTCGCGACGCAATTTCGTCGAAACCCGCCAGATGTGGCAACAGTGCAGTTTCCGGCTATAGACTCTAGTTTCCGCAAGAACGAACGATCCGCCGCGTCCTCGCGCAAGTCGCTCAGGTTTCAAGTTTAACGAACCTCCGTTCGCTCATGTACTGCAAACGCACACACATTTACCCATCCCATACATCACACACATATTTTTTGCGAGCAGTTTTATGAACATTTGAGGGTTCTAAGAGTAAGTATAATAAATACAACAGAATCACAAAGCTAAAAATGAGAATAAGATTAAGAACAAATATTACGTTTGACATCAATGGTGCAGAATAAGACAAATTACCCAATTTTTATTTGTATCCCTTCAAAGAAGTATTTGCTTCTGATTCTTTCGCGCGAAAATGTATGTGCTTGCAGTTTTCTCTGCAGTTATTTCAAGGAATATCGTCTCTTTACTAGACTCTGATTTTATTGTATTCCCCTTTCCCTCCCCCAAGCTCTTTCCATCTCGCGCGAAAGATTAATGGCGTAAAAACGAATGCAAAATAAGAATGAATAATACGAATAAATGTGTCAAATAATGAATGCGGGGATTGAATATTGAGTGAGAGAAACGGGAAGCAACATGAAACATTGTACTTTTTAAGGTATATAAGTTATACGTTTATTCTAGTCTTTTACAATTTTTTCTAAAAAAAGCTACTGCAGATCTGGACCGTAAAAAATAAGCATAGGTGCCAAGATTAAAGGTACAATTTTCGTGGTGTCGTTTGTCGTAGCGATGAGTGGTCATGTGATCGAATTTTATTTGTTTTTTGTCGCCAACGACAACGTAAAAATTTGAACTGAACTTTTAGCGACGTCGCTCTTACGCATCGAATCTTGTGGGTACACGGAAAGAACGATTATGTTGAAAAGTCTAAAAATTTTGCTAAAAACAGATCTGAAAATAATTTTTTATTGAATTATCAAAATAATTTGTTGGAATATTAAAACTGATAAGTATTGCTATAAAACGTTTTGATATTCTAGCAATCATTTTGACTTTCCCACAAAATTATTTTAATTATTAAACAAAAATTATATTCAGATCTGAATTCAGCAAAATTTTTCTTTCCGTGTATAATAAAAAATTTATTGCTGCTACTCATTTACACAAGCGACGATCAAAATGCCATATGACATAGGTATAATTTTACGTGACTTGTTTGTCGCTAAATATGAGCGACAAACGATACCATGAATACATAGCTTAAGAATACATACCTAACTTAACGCGTGAAGTTACACCGACTCGCGTTGCCGAAATGTTGCAACTTCACGGGTTAAAACACTTGCGACGTCGCCGTGCGCGCGTATGTGCAGCCGTGTGTACATAATCTTAGAGACTCGAAGATATTTTTTAAATAAAAGTTAACGAAGCCGCGATCGTCCGTACCCTCGGCGAGATGAAGTAAGTTTTAAGTGTGTTTTTCTAGAGACTAAATTTTAGTTTAAGTGCTCCCTCGCCGGCCACTGTTTGAATTGTTAATTCGTTTAGAACACACAACGGGGACTCGATATGTTTTCACAAGGTGCGCGTCTATAAGCGGGACAAGATTGGCTTCCGCGCGCTTTTGGTTCTTCCTATTGAGTGAAATCGACTCCGGCACGATCGATCGGGTGTCGCGCGGGTCGGCGAAAAACACCGTAAAAATAAACCGTTTCACGCGGATCCTCTCGATCGCGACGAAAATTAGAAGCGGTCGTTCCGCGCCACGTTTAACTCTTCGTTCCCGAGATCGCGCGAATTAAAGCGAATGCGTGCGACGCGCGCGAGGGTCACGGATTTCTTGCGCCTCGGCAAAAAGGCAATTACACCGCCGCATTAAAATGAAGAGGATCTCGCTCGCGCTTCTTTTCCTTTCGGTTCTCACCTTTCGAAACCGTTTCAATCTCCAGGCGGATATATGACACGGTCGATCGCGCCCTTGCGCGCGCGATCCCCCCGCGTCACGCCGCGCTGGCGGAAAGGGGGTGAAAGCTCCGCGCGCGCGGTTCGCGGGATTTAAATTAGTAATCGTTAAAGCCTTTAAAAGGGACATTCGGTTCAACGACGCATGAAAAACTGAGCAGCGCGCGCGGCCGGCACACACGTAGGTACAGCATAGGGGTAGTAACGGTAAACGGTGCGCTCTGGCACGGCTATTTAATTTGTGCCTGGCGGCGGCGACGGGGCGGAGAAGAGCGACAGCGGTGGCAGCCGGGGTGGCGGCGCGGTAGCGTAAGGTTACGCGGACCTCTCGCTCTTTGAAGTCGGTGGTTGATGGCGGTCGGTCGGTTGCCCCGCGCCGCACCGCGCCACGCCGCGCCGCGTAGCTAGCCGGCAATGTGGGCTTGGCGTATACGCACTGAAGGCTTCCGTTAGAACGCAACCCCCGGAGCAAAGGAGCGATCCCGAGGGAAGGGGGGAGGGAGAGACGACTCTCGGGAGAGAAGGAGAACGCGAGGAGGCGTGAGGACGATGGTGGTTTCGCGTGTGAAAGCTCGAACTGAACCCGCGTGTACATCATCCGCGTTCCTTTCATCCTACGTCCTTCTCCCCGGACGTGTTTCTTTAGAACGACCGCACGCGTTTTGCGTGACGTTCGTTGCTTGGTCCGACATTCGATTCCACAAGCTATTTTCCTTGATATTTATTTAAGAGGAAGAAAGAAAGATGTAGTGAAGGTAAATTGGGAGATAAATAATCAATCATGAAATACTTGTGAATTATTTTGATTGATATCTTTTTACAAGGAAATTTACAGGGAAATGTGATAAATTAGGAGATAAATAATCCTCTTTTGTCAGGGTGAAATTATAATTATTATTTCATGAAAGAAACGACTAGGTTTATCATTTATTTGGTTTACGTTTAAATTTCACAAAAATCTGTGTTCAGTGAAGACAGATTTAGTTAGCCATTAAATTTCAATGAATCTGACTGATATATGATCAGCCAAGTTGAAAAGCTTTAAATTACTTTTCCTCGCTAAAAGTACACACACAGTACCTATCACAATCAATTAGTATATATATGTATAATTACGATAATTTATAATCGATTAATAACAAGATGATCTTTCTTCTTTTAATTTAAAGGTACTCGTCGTTACTTCAACAGAAGACGACGTTAAAATGGAAGAAATCGACTGCGACTTCATCAGACTTAGCCACTCCCGTCCCGTAACCTCGC